GCACCTGGGTGTGAATAAATCTCTGCATCCAGCTGCCGAATTGCAGCTGAACAGAGGAATTGAATTCACTGTGAATTTGTAATCGTCAAAATCCAGAATGTGAGATTCTACTGATTAAATGGCCTGGTTTTTGTAAGAAGTAAAAGGCAAGAAAAAGAAAGGATGGAAGACAAGCCTATATAATAAAAGCAACTTAAAAGACATGTCAGTTTTTAAAATTAGACATGTCTGGGGAAGTACACTTGAATAAAATCCTTAAGAAATGCAAAGAAGTAATTACTATATAAGTTACTTTGGGAGTGATACAGCTATAATTGGAACTGGGAACATATAAAGCCTTCAGATGTGACTCGAAAAATAATTTCTCTTGTAATAATTCACTAAGCTATGTAATTGCCTTGTGTGGTTTTATGTATGTCATGTTTCATTTTACAATAAAAAGGTAAAAAATTACTGTTTCACAGGAATTTAGGCAAGGAGATCACAAAATATCTAGAAAGGTCTGGTGATATGTAATATATGATGCAGAAGCATTGCAAAACATTCACTGATCACTCCTGTGTGTATGACTCTGCTTGAGATTCTGGTTGTCGTTTTCAGCCCAGCCTCTTCAGTAAATTTCATTTCTCATGGCAGAGACAAAGGACTGAGACATCATTTTGGCGGGATTATTAATTCTTCCATTGGATGACATATTTCAGTGATATTTTTCACTAGTTGAATTTTACTGAGTGGCAACTATGGGCTGGGACTCTGTCTCTGAAATAAAAAGAAGGAGATGGAATGGTTTCTCGACCCAAGGGGTATAAAATACAGTTGCAAAGTGAGATTTTTTTTTTAATTTCACACGACTTAAATTTCATTGACATGTTTCATAATTCTCAACACGAAGCCTCTTGACATTCATAAACTCCAAGGAAATAGTGGGATGAAGGTCTTTGAGTTTATTTTAGCCTTGCAGGAAGTCAAAAGGCAGAAAGAATTTGTGTCCTGATAAGGCAGAACAAGTCTTTCGTTAACATTAATTAAATCATCTTTCTTTGTCTTCTCTCTCTCTCTCTCCTCTCTCTCTCTCTCTCCCACCCTCTATTTTTTCTGCCTCTTGTTTTTGCGTAGTACTAGATAGCTCGAAGTGTAATGCTTGTTATTTCTCAATTAAAGACGTACTATTATTTTTCAACGAATGCGAATATTGAGTCATTATGTTGTATACCTGAAGCTGATACAATGTTATATGTCAATTATACCTCAATTAATTTTAAAAAGGTAAATCAAAAGGACTTCCTTATAGTAAGTGAGTGTAGGGGGTGAATTAACTTTATTCAGCAACTAATAAAATATTTCTTAATATTCTGAGTGAGCACTGTGTCTACGTTTTGCATTTTTATGACAACCTTGTCAAGTAGTTGCTATAATCACTCCCACTTTGCAGATGTCAAAACAGAGGTTCCAATGGTTTCGTGATTTGCCCAAGAACATTCTAAAAATTAGATGGTGGAGCTGAAGTTTGAGCCAAAGGTTCTGCCTCCAAATTCCATGTTTGTCCTTCCAAACCGATCACTAAGGGACAGGTCCCAGCATCCGTGTCTTCTGTTTACACCAGATGTTAATCGGCTTTAAAACGTCTAGATCTTATTAAAATGCTGAAGGAAAAAGGGAGCTCTCTTTTCTTTCTAATCAGCTCTCTCTCTAGAGAAGAAAGAGATCAGGATTTAGTAAATTAACACCTTTCATCCAAATTGGTTTCTTTAGCTTTATTCTCCTTTTATCTTTGAGCGTCTGACTTATTAGTGATTGAGATTTCTCAACAGTAGTTCCCAGACACCAGCACCTATCTGTGATAATCTTCCACTTAACTGTTAAACTCTATGAAATTAAATCTGTCAGTGCAAGTACAACGGAGGATGGCAGGAGGAGGGAGTGAAAATAAGTAAATTATTCAAAAGAGCTAGGCCAACGTAGCTAGCCTAAATCCTCAGTGCGAAAAATAAGTCATGATCCTGACCTTTTTCTTAATATCTCTGTTGGAGAGCAGGCAGGGTTAAAAATATAAAACCAGGTAAATGGATGCTGTGTACAGAGAGAGGTTTTGCCTTTACTTGATTGATGCTAAGGACAAATACACAATCAACTATGCAAATTCCACCAGCAAGGGGAACTGTTATCTACACACATACTAATTACTCAAGTGTATACTACAACGACAAGGCACCAACATGCTCATCGGGTATTGTTTGGACACTCTTGAAGTTTTGGATAATTTTCATCATGCCTTTTCAAAACCCCTGACTCTCTTCTTTCAAATAACCTTTATTCATTTTCTCTACCCAGGAAAATCTAAGCTCTCAAAATATAGGCTTAAGCAGAATGGCAAGCAAAACGTAAGGATGGGGAGAAGAGGCTGAGAAGTAAGATGCTATCCAACTCAACCATATTGCTGATCAGATATTTTACACAGGTGACTCCCTGTGCACACTTTTCCTTAAAACATCTAAAAGCTGAAATTCACCATTTACCCACTTTTTAGATTCCAAATTGTTCTGGATTAATATCAGAAGCAGATAGAGTGCATTTCCACTCTGCTAACACTCCGAGCCTCATCCCAGTTTGTCTCCCTCCTTCCTTCCTCTGGGCTCACACTATGGTTAAGATAACGTCTTTAAGAGGCCACTCTATGACTCAACAATATTTTATGGCTAGGAAATTCTGGCTTATGTGAGATTTTTTTCCCTTGAAATTAAGTGAGTTGAACTTACTATGAGAAAGCTTTTTGAAAATCATTATACAATAAAAGCTTAGCAATGTAAGACTAGAAAAGAAATACTGAGGTGAAAATTAGCCAGTGATAGCATCTTATCTTTCTATTAATACATCGTGTGTGTGTGTGTGTGTGTGTGTGTGTGCTATTAATACGTTGTGTGTGTGTGTGTGTGTGTGTGTGTGTGTGTGTGTGTGTGTGTGTGTGTGAGATTTATGGAAGAAAGAGTTCTTTCTATTTCTGCCAATTGGCTGTGTTTCTTCAGTGGGCTCGAAAGTGCTCCTGACCCTTCTTCCTGCTGTATGTGTCACCAGACTCTACAAGGATCACCCCATGGTCTGGTCAGAAAGTTCTCTCAAGAGCTGTGCTTTCTCACTGGGAATGTCTGAATTCTCACATTAATCTAATTCATAATCTAAATACTTCAGGTATGCATGGGACGTTGTTAAACATGAAGGCAAGTTCTAACTTGGAAAGAAGTACATTAAAATTTAAAGGTACTGAATTTAAAAGTTAGCATACCTTTTAAGAAAACTTTAGTGAAAAGTGTCTGCCTCCAAAGTGATTGGTCTCTGAGAGAAGGTTGTCGGACAATTTTGGAGAAAAAAAACACAGAAGGTCTTCACTTTGGTTCACTTTACACCTAATAATTGTAAATCATATTTAAATATATGATTTTAAAAAGTATGGTAGTATAGATACACCAGGGTACTCAACTCTGAGAAGACTTGCCAACCAAGAGTTGACTTGCCAACAACTCAACTCTTGAGAAGATAGGACTGGCTTCTCATCTCATTCCTACCCCATGAATGACACAGGAAGAGTCACTGTATCAATAGGAACTTTCCTGTGTGACCATCAGCAAAGTAGAGTATAAACATTTAGCATTAGGAGGAAGAACAAAGCACCCAATATTAGGTTTTAAGAAGTGTAGGAGATGGTGAGCAGCTAATTAGGACTTATGATTCGATGAAAAAACCAGATGACCAAAATATTAAATTTAATTAATAAATGAATTATGCTTCATCCATACAATGGAATCCAAAATCATCAATTAAAAAAAAAAATACTAACAAAGGATAGCATTTCCGATGTCACAGAAAGGGAGACAAATTCACTGACAGGGTTATTATTTCATAGTTATTTTTGAATGAGAAAACCAAAAAGCAGAAGAGAATGGTCTCAATCATATA